GACTTGTTTTCCTGACAACCCTAACAAATGTAGCATAAACACAAACTATGATTTTGCTGTTTATTTTCTTCAGATAGCCCTGAAAATAATCCAAATAACATATACAATAATATGTTACAAAAGTATGGCTCTCCTATGAAATGAACAACCAAACAGGAAGTCTGGAACTAAGCCTGTACACTGCTTTGATGATGGCTGCCCTTTGGGCTCCACATCCACTAAGTGGATTAAATGCAATTACAGTACTCTTTGTTGACAGACTGCCACCAGGGGGCAAAGATAATATCTTAATACAAAGTGATGACAGTGAGGCTTATTTATTTAGCATCCAGTATATAAGCATTACTGTACTCTGCCATTTATTTAAGCTTTTATCTCCATGAATCTTGCAAGTTAAATAATATCATCGTTGTTTTGCTGAGAAAAAATAAATGTCCAAAGAGTATAAGTAACCTGTCCAAGTCACATAGATAAATCCATTCTAGGTTTCCTCAATTCCAAAACAAATGCTTCTTCTAGAAAGACATATTGGTATTTACCTTACAGGAAATGTACTAATGTTTGTCTTCAGTGCTCTTCCATATCCTTTTTAAACCCCACTCATGCCTATATACCTTATACTAACCTCTAACCGTTTTATTCCCTTGTGAGTCATGCACTGTGTTCTATGTCTTTCTTTTCTGCCTACTTTCAGGAGGCTATCACATAGGCAAAATTCTGATGAGCAAAACTGCCCTGTGTTTTATTGACAAATAATCGTAGAGTGTTTTCATTTTCATGGTCTTAGAATAGAAATTCCATTACTTATTTATTTAACAAATACTTTCCATGTTTCTGATGAGCTAGAAAATGGTTCAGTCCCAATATTAAAGCAGTAATGAAAAATGCCATCAATCAGGTCTCTGATTGGTATTTTCTACGTGCATTTTTCAATGAGTACAAGATGCTTTATCATACAAGGCAGCCATTGCACTCTTGAACAGCTGTTAAAGTGAAACACTCATTCCTTATGTTCTTCTGAATACTCTATGAAATGTTTACCTCTTAGGCCCTCTATATGATACAGAATAAAGTCAATTCATTTTTGTCATATGCTAGCTCTTAAAGCATTTATCCCCTCTTTCTTCCCACCACTAATTAGTGGCTTAGGAGTTCAGGCTTCAAGCAGCATCCATGGATATGAATATCAAGATTACAAAGAACTCATTGATATACCAACATTGTCAAATAATACCAACACTGGTTGATTGGTTGTTTTTGTACACACGACAATATAGACTGTGAGCAACTTGACGCAAAGTCTTGTATCTTAATCACTTCTTTATCTCTTGTGTCTAACACAGTACATGTCACAAATAGGTTATTATTAGAAATTATTAAATAGGTGTTGAATGAATAAATTATTAAGCTAATACTTGCTATCTTTTATTTATTTCAGTCAGTGGAAACCTAGCATTTGAGAACCTATGATATATCAGCCACTGTTCAAGGCCGTGAATGAATAAAACAGACATGAATCCTTCCTCAGACCTTGGAGTCTGAAATTGCTGAAGTGAGTACAGTAATTCCACTCCAGGTGACTCATACTAATAACCTTAGGGAGAAAAAACGCTACTGCTGAGCCTCAATTTCCTCATATACTATTGAGTTGTTAGACAAATGACCAATCTGATAAGATTAAGTCCTTAAATCATTATAAAGGGCATGAAATGTTTAAGGCATTATATAAATTAAGTTTTATGATTATAAAACTATTTTATAAATTTGAATACTGCCCAGAATTGATGTTCTTCCAAGGTCAAAAGCAATTCAGTTTCTCAGATACAAGCACATCATTATAAAACCACATACATCATGCAGTAACTCTAGGATTATTATTTAAAACCATATCTCTATTATATAATGTAACTTCCTTTAGAGCACAATATTTTACATTCAGTATCCTCTATAGGATCTAGCACTTTTCAGAAAAATAGCATTCAATAAGTGGATTGATGCAATAGAAACAACTGAAGAATCACCAAGGAATCTAACCTGAATACCATTTAGGAGATTCAAGAACCCAGTGAAATTGTATGCAAAACTGTGTGTCTGTAGGCCATTTTGTAGAGTTCTTCAGTTTTATCAGAGTCTCAAAGAGATCTATTATATATAAGAGTTTCTTACTCAGTATATATTAATTGAATTTCAACTACTTGCTAGACATTGTACTATGGTTTAGGCTTAGAATATAAAACTTTTTTATAATAAATGAATATTGAGTACATCAAAATTTTTCAAGATCTGCTTTCTTAAATTCACACCATTAAAATTAATGCATAACCTATTAAACACATTTACATCCTAAATCATCATCAGATACTCTAAAGTAACTTAATATCACATTTGCTGGCAAAATATTCCTTGGAAATACATTCTTATTGGCTTCATGAAAAAAGCCTCCATGATAATATAACCTGTGGGGGTTTAATGTCTGTCTACATAGACTTACATATCTGCATATAGATACATACACACATACGTATATACGTATAATTTTAAAAATCCTTAATGAGTCGTGCTGCTCAAATAGTTTAAACAATCTCTAATTCATCAACTATCTTTTAGCGCTGCTGGGTTTCCATTTATTCCTAACAATAACAATGAAGCTACTGTCCTTCAAACAAAATGATGACGTATAAAGAAAATGTCCTAGAAATTGTTTTCTAAGCAGTTTCCTCAGGGACTTTCCACTGACTGAAATAAATAGTTTTCAAATGCGCCAGACGGAGGACAAAAATTATTTTTAAAATTGCAAGAATACCTCTGAAATTTCATGGCAGTTTTTCCCCTTTGGAAACCTTGTATCTCTCCTCAGTGATTAAGAATCAACTATCTCCAGTCAATAAATATTTATTTGAGCAGCTATTTTAGTTTGCTGAATAAAATTATTCTTTCTTTTGAGAATGGTTGCCATATATTCTTGTCCCAAACTTATAAGAAAAGGATATTTCCCCAGATACAGACATAAGCACACTTAAAGACTGAAACTCTCATCCACAGTAGATGTGCACTTTACAGTATGAAAATTTTAATGTAGCATAATCCAAAATGACTATTTGGAAAAAAAAAATGGTTAGTTTATTCTCTGGAAACAATGTTTCTAATTCATATATTCTACAGAGCTCAGTTGCAATTGGCGATAGTGGCCAGGAGATGGCGCAGTCTCATTTCCTAAGATTTACTTCATAGACTAATACACAGTGTTAACTTAAAAAAGAAACGTTTTTTAATGGCACTTGTTTTCACTAATAGAAGCTAAGATTGAAAAATAAAACACTCAGAAACTATAAATTCAAATTGCTCAAATGTTTTATTTATTACGAATCACCTATCTGCAAATAAAATACTTTAAAAATACTTTGAAAAACTTTTTTCTTTCCTGTGAACAAGGAACAGAAGAAACAGTTTTGAAGTAGTAATTATTTAAAATTGCCTTAATTGTTCAATTCTTCCTTTTGTTTTATATTATGCTGGATTGCTTTACACTTACAAATGTATTTTATCACTAAAAATGCCACTTTTCAATAAAATAAAAAGGATAGTTTTAATAAAAATTTTTACAAATGATAATTTAGGGAGAAAATTCATTAAAGTAAATATTTCCTTATATAATGTTCAAATTTACTTCTTTCACTTGATAAATGCTAATGAAGAGTTTTCAGATCTAAGACCTATTATATTGCTTGAGAAAAAAATAAAACTAACATTTTAAGACCTCATAATCCACTCACATACTTATTGAAGTATATTAATGGATGTGTGTGTATGTGTGTGCACGTGCATGTACTACACGCTTCTGGAAAAACTCCAGAAAGGGAGAATGGGCATATACATTACAGATTGTCCTGATTTGGTCTGAAGTACAGTCTGCCACAAGTTATTGAGTCTTTACTGGAAAGGTAGGAAGAATCTCTAATCATCCCTGAAAAGGTATAATCCAAAGCTGGCCGAAAAGGCAAGGTGGGTACCAACCCAGGTGTTAGGTAGGGTGACATAAAACCAGATAACCCTCTTCCTGCAGAAGAATATGCCACCCTTAATGGACTGATACCTACTCTAGGATTTAAGCTGTAGAGATTTGAATCACCTCCATAAGAAGCAGAAGTAGTTTGAAGAGGAGAGAAAGCTGATTTATTACCTAGAGTTCCAAAACCAATTCCAGCAAGACTAAAACTTGAAGCTCTCTGAAAGGCTGTGTTTTCCAGTTCTTCTGAGTTTGCTAGGTTCCTGTTGTCCGGCTTGTGTTCTCTGCCATTTAAAACCTGTTCAATAGCTTGGACCACATCCCCTTTGCAGAACTGTAGAATGCCTTCTAGCCGGCTGCGCCTGTAATTTGGGAAAATCTTAGTAAGGATATCAAGAGGATCTCTTGGTCTTGAGGACACTGTAGGAAGGCTTGCCTTGGTTGCAGTCAAGTCTTTGACCCATTCACTTTCATTTCCTGATTCCAGATCAGAGGATGATAAGGACCTGGGACTTTCTTCACCTCCTGATTGCTCTCCAGGATGAGGAGAGAGGACACTATCATGCTTGTTGGAATATTCTAAAATAGATGACCCGATACTTTGTTTCCCAACGACACCATTAGACCTAGGAGATGATCCCAGGTAAAGCTGATGGGATTTGGAGATCGGTTCTTCTTGTCCATTCTGGCATGACTCACATTTACTCTCTTTTTGTTCTAGAGAAGAGGGGGAAAAAAACAATCAAATATAGGGAAGACTTCCCAGGACATAGTACTGCTCACTTAAAAATAATGCCGGATAATATAATTCATTCACTCCTAATAATTAGTAATATTTATATACTCAAAGACATTTTAATGAATAAATCAAGTTTAAAAGATTATTCAGAAATGCAGGTGCTGGAATAGTCAAAAAGATACTATTATATCATTTCAGAATCACAAAGATATGCAATATTAAAATGCAGTTATATTTAGGAATCAGAAGATGAGAGTGCATTATTACCCCAAATTGTTTGCATAACACCAATATGGCACGCTGTCTGTTTTATCTTGGTTGTGTGGGATCTTCCTAAATGTCACCTAAGTTTTGTTATTATCTAAGTGATATTTTTTCAAAATGACACTATGGAAAACAAACTAAATAAAATGAACAGGAAATAAAAGGAATAATCTTAGTTTGAAAATGAATATTCTATTTAATCACTAATGCTAAATTTTAACAATTGGTTTTTTAATCTCATATTTCAGGTTAAAATTAATTTACTTGAATAATGTAAAAAAACGAAATTGTTCATTTCATTTCAAATTTAAACCAATAAGTACTATTGCTATGTCATTCCCAAATCATACTAGAGCTCGCATATTTCATTTTATGAGAAATGATACAGATGGTATTTTTCATAATCCTCTATGAAACATGTACTTTCTTTTTGAATCCTTAAGAAATATCAATAACAGACTTTAAAAGCAAACTGTTTATAAAAGAAAATTATAAACTGTCCTATTGCAATCTATATGAATCCTCAAATTGTCTTTTAAAATCAACATATTAGGCATTTGCTTTAAATCACAACCCTCCTCCAATGTTACGGGCAATGTTCTAAAAGTACTTTTACACAAAGTTCTGGTTTTTCTATCTCAACATGTTGAGCACATTAATCAAACAAGAATATTTTAACACCCTTTACTAGGTTAACATCAGAAAAATTAAAATAGCCATATTTACTATATAACTTTTACTTTGGTTTACATTTTCTATTATCCTAGAGATATATAGGTAGGAGTAAACTGCTAAGTGTAGTGTGCAGAGTAATTCTGTCCAACTTTCTTTTTCTACCAAGTTTATGAATGTAACAAAACAAATATTGCCTAAGGCAGTGATTTGTAAATATGATTTGCAATACTTTCATGTTTTCTCCAGTTTTCTTAAGCACTCAGTTCTAAATTCTGAAGAAATAGCTATAGTTTATTTTAAAATTAAAGTGTATACAATTTAGCATTTTGAAGTTCAAAATGCTGTTCCCATAAGCATATGATGAAAAAAAGAATGTCACTACTGCAAAAATTACACTCTATAGTATTTTCAACTTTAAATAACACAGTAATACTTTTCTAATGAAATTGGCCAAGTGGAAATAGATTAGCATTAGTCCTCCATTCCACTTTACTTGTAAATATGAATGAGCATGCCCCTGAACATGTCAATTATCAACATTTCACCTCTATAGCAAGTTATGCATGAAATCATAAAATAATGTCTTGTTATATTTTACTCATCATACAATATATGTAGTGAAACACCAATTTGCATAAGATTATTTAGAAAATATGGTGTCTTTAAAATATAATACCATTTACTTCAGCTCTCCGTCTTCTCAAGTCCTACAGCTTGCTGTACTTCTATTGCATTTATCATTGTATATTAAGCCTTGCATTGTAGTTTTTGGATACATATAGTCTGTCTTCTTTTGAATATAAGGTTCTTTTGTGTAGGAAAAGCTTGTTCACTTCTAAATCACAGTTAGTCTTTGTCTAATGAATGAGTAAATTAAATAGACTATTTTACCACAGTTCATGGCCATTGTGTAAGAGGAGCAGTCAATTTAGAAAGCTATTGAAGTAACCTTTCAACGTTAGCTTGCTTTTTATGGGGGAGGGGGCATCATCTGAGGCAAACAACAAAATAAAATAATTAGCTCTATAAAACAGAACACTTTGGCACCAACTAGAAATCACATAAATCAGTGTCTCACAGGGAGCTGTCAGCCATTTCACTATCGGCGTAGTTTCAGGAATTTTCACTTTTACTTCTCTTTCATAGCACTTTTACTTAATAACTTTGCTCTTTAGCACCCTTGATCTTTCATGAGAATTGTATAAACTCTGTTTTACCTACTCAATTAGAATATGTACAAAAAGTTGACACATGTAAACACAAAATTCACTCTGAATTGAATGCCTCATGTCAATTCACAGACCAGTATTTTTCAAATGTACTATGTGAGTAGAACTTCAGGCAGCCACTGAGCGAAAAATCTGTTGAGATCTGCAGTTTTCACAATTCAAGGAAGGTTTGTAATTAATAGTTTACTGTATAGCTATCATACAGTTTCATATAATACAACTTTATAAGTTTTGTACAAGTTTTGGACTTACAAAAAAAAAAAAAGAAAACATCACAGTGATATTTCCACTGCTTAGTAGGCCCTGTGGAGGGCTATGAAGTTCACTAAAATATATCTCCTAACGCAGGAAATGAAGGCAACTGACTTGCAGTCAAAAAATCAGAGAAAAATAATGAAAACTCCTTGGATAAAAAACCTCTAACATTGAACTTTCAAATTCTTACTTATGGTTTTACAAATTACATTTTACAAAAACAATTCAGAGAGAAAGAAGAAAGAAAGAAAGAAAGATGACGGTTTGGTATATTTCAGTCTCTTCCCGACATCAAGCTTGCAACAAATGTTTGCCCCAACATGTAGTAAAGAACGGCATCCCCAACTATCAGAGTTTCCCACGCAAAATTAGCTCTGGTTTTACAGCTGAAAACAGTCCAGATCAGGGAGGATCACCTGGGCCTAGGGAGGTTGAGGCTGCAGTGAGCCATAATGGCGCCACTGCACTCCAGCCTGGGCAACAGCGTGAGACCTTGTCTCGAAAGTGTACAGAGCAGACTCAAACACAGGACCTCTCACTCAGCTTTTTGCTCAATGCCTGCTTGAAGTTCTATCCACACAGTGAAAAGTCAAATCAACTTCCGC